TCAGCGCCGATCCAAGAAGTCCGTGCGAAGAAATCCACGCGGAGCTCCGACAGTTTCTGCTGATGTAGTTTTCCTTTCCCCTTAATAGCCACCGCCTCGGAGTCTCGCCCTTGGACCTCGACGAGTGGTGGATCTGGAGATCTGCCCGCCCGCCTGGGCGGGCAGATCTACCCAGACGTCTTGACGTTTTCAAAACGGAGTCCCCGGAAGTTCCGATTCCTTCTCCAGTCGGGAGCCTTGAGACGGGGGTCAGTGCAAACGGGGGTCAGCCAGAGCTCCGGATCTTGCAGGATCCTGCAGGGACAGGGTCGCATTGACCCAGGTTTGGGGGCAGGATCCTGCAGGATCTTGCATGACCCTTCGCATTGACCCGTGTTTGGGCGCAGGATTTTGCAGGATTTGCAGGATTCTGCAAGGCCTGACTGACCCAGGTCTGCATTGACCCGGGTCAGAAGACCCCTTCTCCAGGGCCAGTTTTTCGTCCCGAGCCGTTCTTTGGTTGACGGTCCTGGGGCCCGGCGAGGGCCCCCCCGAGTCCGAAACATAGACACACACACACACCGTCCGTCGCACGTTATTCCGCACGACGCGTTATTTCTCACGACTATTTGTTGGACTATTTTTGAACATGCTCCTGTAGAGAGACAGGCCCGACTTAAGCATACTGGGGTCCACATCTGCCGCTCCCCGAGCCCCGGGGTACGGCCCCGCGGCAGTGGGTGTGGACGTATTCTGGCGCGGGGTATAGGACAGCTCCGTACCGCAGGGGCGCTACAAGATCAGGCCAGGGGGGGGGGGGGGGGCAAGGAGATGCCCTCCCTCCTGCTCCTCCTCCTCCTCCTCCTCCTCCTCCTCCTCCTCCTCCTCCTCCTGATTCGTTCTCTGAACAGGGTTGCTCCGTTGAAGTTGTGCGGGCCGCTGTCTACGTTCATCCGTTGACGTTTCGCTCAAGCTTTTTCCCCACGGGGTATGGTGCCCCCGTGGGCAGTCGGCGCCATCACTCAGCTGTCGCACGGAGTCGCCTCTTGGTTGACGCAGGCGCCCGCTCCGCCGCCCTGTCCATCCGTGCAGTGCCCTGACTGCCAGTGCGTCTGCCTCGCGATCCCGCAGTTCCCGGCGTGCCCTGGGGCGCCCGCGCAGTGCCCGGCCCCTCCGGCCGAACCCGCGCCGGAGGCGGCCCCCGGGCCTTCAGTGGCAGCGGCGTGGGGCACGACGGTGGCGGCCCTCGTGATCGGGATCGCGCTCGGGGACGCCGCCCGCTGGACCGATGGCAGCTGTTGCCGCCGCAGGCGGGGCCGGTCAGGGCGTGATGGACCAGGTGGGCTACATCCTCTACGCGGTGGCGGGCCCGCCGCTGTGGCACCAGCGTTGGCTGATGGGGCGAGTGGTGTCCTGTCCGAGTGACGCCGTGCTGGCCTCGCCCGACCACATGGTGCAGGCGGAGGTGGTGGATGGCTCGTCGCCCGACATCAGCGCTGTTCGGTGGGCTCCGACGCTGGCACCGCGGCCGCCTGGCGTCGTGCGGGCCTACCGCTTCGCAGTTGCACCGACGGCGGCGGAGATCGCGGGATGGCTCCCTGAGGCCCAGGCCGAGGCGAGGCGGTGTTTCACGCGACGGCACCCGGGCGTGGCTGTGCCGGCGCCCGTGTTCGAGCCCTGGCCTTGGGCAGCGGCTGTGCCGCCGGGAGTGCCCGCAGCCCCTGCGGCGGGGGTGGCCGCCCCGGCCGCGGCTCTTCCCGGAGGTTTGGGCGCCCTGGTGGCCGCGGGCGTCCCGCCCCCAGCCGCCCCGGCGCCCGCGCCGCTGCCAGGTGGTGTGATGCCCCGCGGAGGAGCCGCCGCCGCTGGTGCCGGCCTGGGAGCAGGAGGAGGGGCGGGAGCGCCGCCCCCCCCGGCGGGGGCCGCTTTGGCGGCGGCGGTGGGCGCTCCAGCACGGCCTCTTGTGCTGGAAGGCGGTGCCGGCGGCGGGGCCGCTGCTCCTCTGGGCAACTGGCGGGTCGCTCAGGAGTGGAGGGGGTGCCACTACGGCGACGTTATCATCCCCCCCGCGGGCTTCGCGGGCAGTGTTCCTGCTCGTGGAGTCGTTCCCCTGGCTGATGGGTCGGCGATCTTCGTGGAGTGGGTCACGCTTGAGGACGAGGGGAGTTTCGCGGATAGGGCTGTGGCTCCCGATTGCCGCCTGCTGCTCGTTCGAGTCGATCGCACGGGTCGCCCTTTCCGCACGCTGGAGAACATCGTCGAGAGCTGCCGCCAGGAGTCCTTGCCCGACTTCATCGCGCCCAGGACAGCCTTGTGGTGCCTCGAGCACCTGGCTGGCGAGGGCCGCTCCTTGGAGGCGCACTTCGAGCATTTCAAGAAGCTGTTGGGCATGGAGGAGTACGCCAACGTTGTCAACTATCTCAAGGCCCTCTTGCACCACGATCAGGTGGACGCCTCGAACATCCTGTCGGTCGAGATGATGTTTCGCCGCCTGCAGACGATAGAGAACTGCTGCAGCGACTAGCTGCGCGAGAGATCGACTGGGTCCTCAGGCGGAAGGTTGACCGCGGATGAGCAGGCTGCCTTCGGCGCGACGGCTCGAGCGGAGACGCGGCTGATGGTGTCGCCCGCGCTGCTGGAGAGCGCCAAGCAGGAGCTCGAGCAGGAGCTCGAGCGATGCTCGGCTGCCCCCTCCAGACGTCCCTCAGGTCTGGAGGGGGGGACATCGACACAACTGGGGATGCTCGGAGCCCGTCGCGGCCTCCGGGGAATGTTTGACAGGACCGTCGGGCGGGACTTGTTGCCGTTCCCGATAGAGCTCCCCCCTTCGGCAGAGCCGCATGCACCTGGGCTCTGGCGAGGGTGCCGGCAAAGAGCCGGGCGTCGGCGGCGTCGCGATGCTGACGTTCTTCGGTGCTTGGAGGGTCTCAACACGCTCTACGGCGTCAGGGGGGAGGCCCAGCCGCCTAGTGACCTGAACCGCGGGCAGCAGCGCGTGCTCGAGCATGTTGAGACCTCCGTCTCTCGCCCGGGGCCCCCCCCGGGTGATCTCTCGCAGGCGGCAGCCCTTCAGGCGCTGCGCCTCGGCCTTCCCCACGACGCAGGTGGGGGCCCTGTAGGCTATGAAGCCTCCCGCGTCTCCCTTCCAGCTACAGGGTCGGTTCCGACTCCGATCGCTCGGCTCTGGGGACTCGGCGGGGAAAGTGTTGTTGCTCGCTTTGTGGAGTCGCAAGTCTTGCCTATCGACGTGGCTCGTGCGAGGTTGAAGGATATAGGCCCAGCTCGACCGCGCGGTGACCCTCGCCTCTTCTCCCCCTCCCTTTACGTTGAATTCGTCCAACGATTGATCGAGGCAGGCGTAGTTGAGCTCTCGCTCGAGCCCGTCTCCGAGGTAGTCGATTGTTTTTTCGTGAAAAAGGGGGGCGGCAAGCAGCGCCTGGTCGTTGACTGCCGACGATCCAACCAGCATTTCGAGCCGCCCGCCCCAGTCAGTTTGGCGTCAGGCGACACGCTTTCGCAGGTCTACAGTGACGTCTCTTTGGGCCAGCCCCTCTACATAGGCCAGGTAGACATCAAGGACGCGTTTTACCACATGGAGCTCCCAGAGGAGCTCCGGCGTTTTTTCGGTCTCCGGAGAGTTCGGGCCTCTTGGGCCGGAGTTTCGGAGGTCGGAGGCGTCAGAGTGTCTCCTGGGACTTGGGTCCGTCCTCGCATGCGAGCTTTGCCTATGGGCTGGTCTTGGGCTCTCCGGTGGTGTCAGGCGATTCGCGAGCGAGCGGCCGAGGAGGGGGGATCCCCTGCAGCGGCGCGTCTCGCCGACGGCTCTTCTCCTCCACCCCTCGCCTCCTCTCCTCGCGCCCAGTATGTTGACAACTACGTGGTATTTTCAACGAGCGAGGCCGAAGTTCGAGAGCGCCTGGCGGGAGTGTCTCAAGCCTCGGAGCTCCGAGGATTGCCATTGCACAAAGAATCCATCTCGTGTGATCGCGCCGTTGTGCTAGGGTGGGAAATCGACGGCCTTCGGCATGTCTTCCGCCCGACCCCCGAGCGAGTCTGGAAGGCTCGCCTCGCCGTGCGGGGTCTTTTAGCGCGCGGCTCGGTCTCTGGAGGGGATCTTGAGCGCCTCTTGGGCCATCTGTGTTTCGTCGGCTTATGCCGACGAAAGTCTCCCAGCGTGTTCGAATATTGCTATCGTTTTTGCGAGGCTGCCCGTAGAGGCCCAGCCCGGGAACCTAGGAGTCTCTGGGCTTCGGCTCGGAAGGAGCTGGATACGTGGGACCGCATCGCCCCGCTCATTTGGGTGAACACCTCGGCGAGTGTCTGCCGGGACGTCGTGGTGGTGGACGGTCCGGTGGACGCGTCGCCGTGGGGTCTTGGGGATGCGCGGGGACGACCACCGCTGGGACTGGTGGAGGAGGCTTGCCGATATTCGGAGCGTGCAGGGGCCCGCGAGGCGGCCCGCGAGGGCCGCCCGCCCCGGGAACGGACCTTCGCCGCGGCCGCTGCGCAGCTGAACGGGGGGGCGAGAGGCCCGTCAGGCAGATCCTCATGGAGCTCGTGCGGGCCCCCTCGCGCGGCGCTCGACCCGAGAGCGAGTTCGACCTCAGGCATCGGAGTCACTTCAAGGACGCCCCCCTGGACCTCTTGAAGATCCCTTGGAAGGTTTGCGGGGGGCAGGAGTGGAAGCGCCCCTCAACGTCTATGCCGGCCTTGGAAGCGGAGGCCCTCTTGTACGGAGTTCGTCACCTCATGAGGTCCGATGCCAACCTGGGTTCGCGGCTGCTCGTGATAGGCGATTCGACCCCCGCTTCACTCGCAGCCACCAAGGGCAGGTCGTCCGCCGATGGCATGCTCTCGGTGACCCGCCGTGTGGGCGCGCTGTTGCTGGCCGCGGGCTGCCTGCTGCGGTCGCGCTGGATCGCCTCGGAGCCCAACCCCGCGGACGGCCCGTCGCGCGGGCGGGGGGCGCCGAGCGACCCTCTTGCAGGGCTGCGACGCGAGCTGGCGGCGGCCGCCCAGGAGCGGCGCCACGCTGGCGCGCGGCAGGTCCGACAGGTCGAGGACCCCCGCGGGCCGCCTGCCGCTGCCGCCCAGCTCGGCTTCAGCCCACCGCCCGGCCTTGGCCCTCCCGGATGCTGGGGGCTAGCGCGCGGCGGCGGCGCGGGTCCGCGCGCGGCGTGCTGCCGAGCTGGCTGCTGCGAGGGCTCCAGAGGCCCAGATGAGTCTGCTCGGGAGGTCCTCAGTCTCGGTGAAGACGCAGGCTCAGTACTCACTCTACCTGTCGGCCATGCGCCGGTACTGCCACTCCCGCAGCCTGGGCGAGCTGTTTGTTCACCGACCGAGGAGGAGTGGGACCTGGCCACCGCCGGCCTGATGGAGATCATGTTCATGGAGGGCGGCTCGCTGACTCGAGTGCTGGCGAGAAGCTGCTGGCGGCTGTGCAGTGGGCGGAGCCCCGGCTGAGGCGGCTGGGAGGCGGCCGAATGCCGATCTGTCGGCAGTGCCTGCGGGGCTGGCGTCGCGCGGCGCCGTCGGGAGGCCGCCTGCCGTTGCGTGCGATGTGGTGGCTCTGCTGGCGTGCTGGATGCTCTGCCAGGGTCGGGGGCCGCACGCTCTCGCGATCCTGATGATGATGGAGCTCTACCTGCGGCCAGGCGAACCGTTCCTGCTGCGGGGCCGCGACATCGTGGCAGGGGCTCTCAGCGGGACCCGCGAGTGGATTCCGACCTGCGTGCTGCTGCGCCCTTTTGAGATGCGGACGCCGTCCAAGAGTCAGGAGTTCGACCAGACGATTGTGCTCGACCTCGAGCGCCAGGCAGCGCTGGGGGAGGCCCTGGTGCAGCTGGGACGGGAGCGAGGCGACGGGCTACTGCTGGAGCTGGCCCCCAGCGACCTCGGCCGCGGCGGCCTGGCGACTGGGGCCTCTCGGCCCGCTCGATGCCCACCGTTTCCGCCACGCGGGAGCGAGCGTCGACTTCGCCGCCGGCTCCCGGCGACTGGAGGAGATCCATCGTCGCGGCAGGTGGCGGTCCGCTCGAAGCCTGCGGCGCTACGAGCACGGGGGCCGGCTGACCGACCTCTTGCGCCGCCTGCCGCCAGACGTGCAGCGGGCGGCCGCAGTGGCCGCGCGGGAGCTCCCAGACGCGCTACGGGGGAGACGGGCGCCGTCGCTGGGCCGCTGAAGGCGCCGACCGTCGCCGTGTTCTTGGAGTTCTTCGCGGGGTCGGGCCACCTGTCCGATGCCATGCAGCGAAATGCAGTACCCACCTTGGGCTGGGACGTGCTGCACGGGCCGAGCTATGACTTGTGGAGCCCCAAGAACGCCCGTCTCATCCGAGGATGGATTCGAGCCGGCCTGGTGTGCGGGCTCAATGCTGGCTTCCCCTGCGAGACCTTCTCGCGCGCGGGTGACCGCCCAAATGGGCCGCCAAGGCTCAGATCGAGTGAGCACGTGTGGGGGATGCCGTCATTGCTTGCCGACAGCGCCGACTCCCAGAAGGTCCATTGGGGCAATCACTACGCGAGGCTCACGATCTCCTTGTGCGTGCTGTGCTGCCAGTGCTGTGTGCCTTGGGCTATCGAGAACCCAGCCCTCAGCTACGCGTGGGAGTTGCCGCCCATGCGTTCGCTCATACAACGGAGTCAGGTGAGCTCGCAGGTGGCGGGGTATTGCCGCTTCGGAACGCCTTGGAGGAAGAGTACCAGATTCGTGAGCTATCTGATCGACCTCGGCCCCCTCTCGAAGTATCGGTGCGTCGGCCCAGTTTGTGTTGTGACAAGACAGAAACAACAATAGTTGTCTGGCAAGGATGCGACGGGAGTGTTTCGCACGAGGCGTGCCGAAGCCTACCCCAGGAGACTGTGCAACCTTCTCGCGAGAGCCTACTGTGATGAAGGAGCCAGATCCCGGGCTGGGCAGTTTTCCATATTTTTAAATCGTACATCTGGTCTCGCGAGCTGACCCCTCTGTGCAAAAAATGACATTGTGTTTTCAACATTGCATGTCTTGTCGGCGTTGCCAGATTAGCTTTGCTGTTTGCAGCCGTTTGCATGTATCCGAAATGATTTCGTTCTGTGTCAGTGGCCGCTCGTCTCTGTAGTGTGATGGGCGGCAGCTCCTTGCGCCCAATGCCGTTTCGAACGCCAGCCTCCTGGCCCGCGGAAGCGAAAACAGGGAGCATGATTCGTTCTCTGAACAGGGTTGCTCCGTTGAAGTTGTGCGGGCCGCTGTCTACGTTCATCCGTTGACGTTTCGCTCAAGCTCCCCCCCCTCCCTCCCTCGCTTTCTCTCTCACCGTGCTTGCGTCTGCGCATGTATCCGAAATGATTCCGTTTTGTGTCAGTGGCCGCTCGTCTCTGTAGCGTGATAGGCGGCAGCTCCTTGCGCCCAATGCCGTTTCGAACACCAGCCTCCTGGCCCGCGGAAGCGAAAACAGGGAGCATCCTCCTCCTCCTCCTCCTCCTCCTCCTCCTCCTCCTCCTCCTCCTCCTCCTCCTCCTCCTCCTCCTCCTCCTCCTCCTCCC